CATAGAACTGTCATTTGACAGTTAAAACGGTTATCAAGTTTAGGTTTACATCTTAACAGAAAGATGGCCTAATCTTTTGTGCCAAATCTCATAGGAAAATAAAAGGTGCAGGAGAACATGAAGTAAAATCCAGAACCAAAAAGTCGTGTAGGAGTTTAACAGTGCCAAACATTCTATATGTTTATAATTCTTGTAAAACGAAAACATTAGGTTCCATGAAAAAATGAAAAAGATTATTACAAATTAAAATTAAGGATTGAAACGAAAAATAGGAATATAGAGAACATTATGAAGAAATATCTCCTCGTTAAGCTTGATACTATCAATACCTTCAACTTTAATTCTCGTGGAATTTGGAATTAAGACAGAAGAATTAGAAACAGAAGTATAAGAATGATAAATATTTGAAAAACAACATATATGTGAGGTATAGCACTAGAATCTAAAATCCAACAAGAAGAATTTTTAATTGAAGAAAATTTTTTATTTGTACCTGAAACATTAATAGCAATATCAGGTTTTTTATTTGCCCATGAAGAACTTTAGTGTCAATGTACTATAATCAGACACATGAGAACCCAGAGTGGCTAACCAAGCTGAACTAGATCAGCACCTGAGACTTGAAGCAAATAAGCTGGTAATTTCATATTCTGGCCCTGTACTTTAACTTCCGACTCTTTGATCAATCCTCATGCGACTAGTATCATCTAGGGGATCAGGTGGTAACCGAGTATCATCTTCCTCTTCTACTTGTAGGAGCAGGAACTGCTTGTTTGGGCACCTATAATTAAAAGTAAACTTTTCGTCCCATGTGAAACAAAGACCCTTTTCTTTTAACTGCATTTCCGTTGCTTACATCTTCTTAATGTTATTGGTTTTTTGATTGGTTTGAGGTGGTGATGGTGGTGGATTTGAGTGATTGGCTAGCAGTATATGTAGTTTGTGTTTGTGGCTCGTGCTTAAAGGGAGATAGGTTGATTGGTAGGTTCTGGGTTTAGTATTATATTTTTCTTCGAAGACTTTGGCCAAAAACAATCAGTCGTTAGTAACGTAGGGGTGATTGTGCAATTACTTCACGTTTAATGTCCGATTTTAAGTCTTCCCACAAAACAATCAAGTAGAGCACCAGAAGTGACACCTTGTACATGATTTGCCAATGTAGTAAATTGAATGTAATATTCATGGATTCTACCAACTTTAACTATTTTTAAGAGGTCTGATCTGGGACATTAATACGGTGAGGGTCCATATTCCAGCTCCAGAATGTGTAATAAATTTAAATGGCCCCTGCAGCTTTAATCACTGAATGGACAGCTTGGGAATCATACAGTGGTATTAGGTATTGTGATGGTGTGATTATTATGAAGTGGTCGGCTCTTTGAACTGGATTCTAAAGTCTATGAGCATGACTTAGCTATTTGAGACTATGTTTATAAAATTAACAAATTGAAGGAATTGTGAAGTTTATTTATGACCAGCAGCAAATGTTTTTAATTTTTTGTTTGAGAATAATTGTACGAATGAATTAAATATTAGTCCCGTTGTTTTTGTATTTTGGTTGTATTTATATTTTTTGTTTTAATTCAGTAGTGGATTTTTTTGTTTCAATTCTTTTTTGGATTATGTTCTGTACTGTATTTTTTTTTTACGTTTGAGGTGCGCGCGCACATATATAATATATATATATATATATATATATAATATGTTTGTATATATATAATAGTTGTATAGATATATATATATTATGTTTGTATATCATATATATGTATTTGTATATGTAGTATATATATATATATATGTATAATTATATATATATGTATATGTATCTATATATATGTATATGGTAATGAATATGTATATATGTATATGTATATGTACATATAGTATATATATGTATGTAGTATATGTAGTATGATTGTAGTATGTATATGATGTTAATGTATACTCTCTGTCTCCTATATATATATAATATATATGTATATGTATGTATCTGTATATGTATCTGTATGTATGTCTATGTATATGTATGTATATGTATATGTATCTGTGTATATGTATGTATAGTATATGTATATGTAGGGATTAATGTATATGTATGTTATGTGTTATGTATATGTATTGTATGTATATGTCTATTGTATATGGTTGTGATGTATATGTATCTGTAATATTAGATATGTTATGTTGTATATATATGTATATGTTATCTATGTAGATGTATATGTATATATGTATATGTATGTATATGTATATATATATGTATATATGTATAGAGATGTATATATATATAGATATGTATAATATATATAGGTATATGTATATATAATATATATAGTATATGTATATATATCTATATATATGTATAGTATATGTATATATATATCTGTATATGTATATGTATATATATGTATATATATGGGTTTGTTAACTTGCGTACGCCTATTTTTTAGTTGATACATTTTAGTAATTGTATCGGATTTTTAGTAGACAAAAAATACCCTAATATTCATGGATTCTAAGTTTTAAATTAAGGGTATTTTATTAATTACCTTCTTAAAACAAACAAAAAAGAAACCTCACAAACCCTTTACTCTCTCATTCCTCTTCAACCCTTCTCTTTCTTTTCTTTCACTCCAATTCACTTTTCTCTGTATTCCTAAGCTAATGAACTATGAAAAAATCAGAAACACTCGCCTAATCCTAATCTACCTTCCCTCACTATCCAATTTGTTTCTCTCTTATCTCCATACTCTTCACCCACACACAACAACCCGCGACACCGCAATTTGTTGTTCTTTCTCTGTTCGTTCATTTTTTTTTCACTTTAATAACAAAATAATTGATGATGTTGATGTTGATTTTTGATTGGAGTATTGTGTTATATATTTTCCCTTATTATTATTAAATTTCATTTTTAAATTAAGTCACGGTAAATAAAACCTTCACAAATCATAGAAAACGAACGTCATTCAACGCAGTTATCGTAGTAAAAAATGCACCCTTCATACACTGACCAGAATAATCCATCTTGAGTGTCACCTGTGGCAGCCATGGTTTGCTGCTTCCAATAAGAAGATTTTGCTATGTGTGTTTAACTATGCATAAACTTTATATCAATTTTTTTTAATTTTAATATTTATCATTAAAAAAAAGTCATATACTATACACATCAATCTCAATGTATACTATGATAAAAATATAATGAAATGTGGTGTAGATGTGCAAATGATGCATATAAATTATATGATAGAGAAACAAATTGGATAAGTGAGGAAGGTAAATTAGGATTAGGCGAGTGTTTCTGATTTTTTCAGTTAGGATTAATTAGCTTAGGAATAACAGAGAAAATGTTGGAATGAGAGAGATGAAAGAGAAAGAAGAGAAAGGGTTGAAAGGAATGAGAGAGGTAAACAAGGGTTTGGGGGTTTCCTTTTTTTTTTTAGTTTTAAGAATGAAAATTATTAAAATACCCTTAACCTTAAAACTTAGAATCGATGATATATTAGGGTAATTTTGTCTACTAAAAACCGGTATACATTACTAAAATATACCAACTGAATTATAGAGTTGAGTTTTATTATGATATTTTAAAATTGTAATTGGCCATTAATGAGTGGTAGTGTAGAATGGTCAGGATTGATAAACTCTTGGGATAACTTGGATAAAGTAGGTTGAGAGTTGATGAGATGGATTCGACTAATAGAATGGATGAGTTGATGAGATGGTTAGGATAAATTATGTTGGATGAGATGGATCAGGTTGACGATTTGACCAGTATGGACCAAGCTGACTAGATGATAAGGAGATACGTGCTACATGTACATGTGGTCAGGTTGGACATGATGAACAAATTGAAGTAATGATCACGATGAATGGATTGGGAGTGCTTCCCCTCATCTCATCTATCTCACCCTACACCTCTCTATTTTATTTTTTTTCATCTGTGTCCTTGTTAGAGAATTTTTTACTGTTACTTTTTTTTAATTGACCCATTAAATAATTAAAAACCTAAACTACTCATCTCTTTCTTCTCACTATCCCATTTCATATTTTATATCTCAAACCCTACGCCCTCTTTCTCTTCTTTGAGTGTTTCTCCTCCCCTCTTCCTCATTTACTTCTCACAGTCTCACTTGCCTTTCCTTTTCACAGAAATCTCATTGTTTGTTTGGTGGTTGTCGTGGTGCTGTCTTGGTGGTGTCATGGTGGTGAGCACCTTTCAAAAGTGATGGTTTTTCTTCTCTTCCATTTGCTTACACTAGTAAAAAAAGGACTTTTGAAGGCGCCATATATGCTTCGGTTACGAAAAACTGAAGCATAAAACCCTATATACCTCGGTCATCAGTTCACCCGAAGCAGAATGGTTATACTGCCTCGGTTGATAGAAAACTCGAAACCTATACCATTGTACAAATCATTGCAAATCAGACCATCCTGTTTGACAACTTTTCAAACAGCCTTACTGCCTCGGTTTCTTAGGCACCCGAGACCTATGCACCTGTGAATGCCTGCTTTTTGCCTGAACCACTGACAGGTCAGCTACGACATCGGTTCTTCAGGAACCGAGGTGGTTAAGGGGGACTTTATACTTCGGCAATTGCTTTTAATCGGTGCAATATTGTGATATTACCTCGGGCTTTTTAGTAACCGAGGTAGTAGCTTCATTCACCTCGACTTAACCTACACACTTTCATTTGCGTCGCCCAGCACAGCTTCTTCTCCCTAAATTTTTTTTTTCTCTCTGTTGAGTCAACCAAATCTGGGATATCACTCTTCCTGTTTACTCGCCTCTCTCCGATGAGGAAACCGGATCTGGGATTTTCCATGAACGAGAGTGCGGTGACTGCAAGCCCAAACCGAGAGTGCGAATCTGGGATTTTCCATGAACGAGAGTGCAGATCTGGGATTTTCCATGAACGAGAGTGCGGTGACTGCAAGCCCAAACCGAGAGTGCGGATCTGGGATTTTCCATGAACGAGAGTGCAGATATGGGATTTTCCATGAACGAGAGTGCGGATCTGGGATTTGTCACCCAAGACAGCCCCAACGCGATGCGAAGCCACGTCATGGAGATTGCCAGCGGCGCCGACATCACCGACTATGTGGTCCAATTCGCGCGGAGGCGTTTGCGCGGTGTGTCCATTCTCAGCGGCAGCGGGGCCGTCGTGAACGTTACTCTTCGCCAGCTCATGGCTCTTGGCGCCGTCCTCTCCCTCACCGGCTCGTTTCTCCCCGGAACATCCCCTCTTGGTGCCATCGGTCTCACCATCTATCTCGCGGGAGGCCAGGGACAGATCATTGGCGGCAGGGTGGTGGGCTCACTGGTGGCGGCTGGTCCAGTTTTGATAATGGCGGGCACGTTTTCCAATGCAACTTACGAGAGATTGCCTTTGGAGGAGGATGATCAGAAGCAGGGTGGTGGCGGCGGGTCTCTACCGGGGATGGGAGGCGGTCCTGGCAAAGCTTGTTCTTCTCCTTGGGGTCATGCTCCTCATGCCAGACCTCCTTTCCAAAGATGAACATGGATTTTCTCAAATCAACCAAACACTATATTACTCTTGAGAAGGATCATATATGAGTCTTAATTAGTTCAGCCAGTTAATTAATTACCTTCTAGACTTTATTTAAATATAATAATAATATTATTATTAATATTAAAAAAAAAGACCTTACTGTCTCGGTTATGGTTACAACCGAGGCAGTAGAGATGAACATACTAGATCGGTTGACTTGACCCGAGGCGAAATCATTCAACTTTGGGTCTCGGTTTAGAACCGAGGCATAAAACTCTGGACTTTTTGCCTCGCCTGTATATGCCTCGGTTCAGGAACCGCTGCCAAATGACGAAAATAACCGCTGTCGTATCCCCTGACTGCACTAGTGTTGGACATCCAAATTGGTTTCTGTTTCACTTGAGAGTGCGGTTGAGAGCTCGTCATAGTTGAAAATGCGATTCATGATAACCGTAGTTGGAAGTACGATTCATAGCTTAACGTAATTGAAAATGCAATAAACACACTTGAAAGTACCGTTCATATTAAAAAATGAAATAATAAAAAATATAACAACACCTATTGATTAACACATAAACATTAAAATTTAAATAATGTATATATATAACATTAATATATTATAAATTAAATACAAAATACTTAAAACAGATATTTTCTAAAAAGATAAAATATCTAAAATATATAAGTAAAACAATATTTAAAAAATCATAACAATTATTGAAAAAGAATAACACCTAAAAATCACCTAATAAATAAAATACAACAAAAATTATTACAATTTAAATAATAACATAAAACATTAACATATTATAATTTAAACACAAAATAGCTTAAACATATTTATGGTAAAAATATATATAACAAAATAAAAAACAGCATAAAACTAAAACAGCTAAGTAAAAGCATAAAATTAAAATTACAAACAACTAAAACAACATAAAAATAAATTTAAAAAACAACATATAACATATTATATATATATATATATATATATATATATATATATATATATATATATATAAAACAATTAAAATAAAAACATCAAAAGTTGAAGTGCTGTAAAAACATAACAAAATAAAATAAAAAAAAGTATAAAAACACATTCAAATATATAAACGAAGTTTGAAGTGTAACATATCATCAATCGAAATTCGAAATTCGGTTGAGGGTTGCCGAAATTTAAACTACGGTAATATGAAACCGACATTTAAACATCGGAACATCGATTAAGGGTGTTTATGCGTTGGAACATCGTTAAGTTATCATTAAATTTGATATGACTTTAATAAATAAAGGATAAAATTGTAAACTGGAAGGTGCAGGATAAGATAGATAAGATAGGTAAGATGCACGGGACAACAATCATGGATTGGTCGGATACGAACCAAGTTTACGGAATGACCATGATAAGCAACTAAACATGCTTACAAATATTAACTTATTTATATAAATGTTATATTTTGAATTTATTATTATTAAAGGGACCCATGTGTAGGAACGGGTCAAGAGACTGGTTTTTCTCTAAAAGTTCGAGGAATCTCCCACAGATAAAATAACGATAAAGAAATCAGTGAGTGAGGAGTTTAGTAAATTCACCTTTTATCCTTTAGTCTTTGAACCTGAAATTTTAGTTTCTATGAAGTTTCATCACGGTGAGGGGTTTCTCTCATAAAATATGTGAAGGTTGGTTAGTAAGATATGAATTTAGAGTAACCTTCACAATCGACAATATTTTTCTTTGAAGGATCGTAGAAATCCCAACATGATAACATAGTGGTGTAATTTGTAAGAATTTTCAGTTCAAATTCACTTTTTGAACATGAGTTTTTACAAAGTTTTAATTACAAATATGGTTTTCCATTTTACAAAATATGTTTTATTTGACTGTTAATATAAATTAAAATATAGTAGAATAAAAGTTGCACACCGGCAAAATCATTATTAATTTAAATAAATTACAGACAATTCTTTTACCATTTGCAGCGTTAGAAAGGTCAACAAGGTTGTTTTCTTTTCTTTTTTTTCTTTTTATTTAAAGTACTACTTACGAGTGAGTTGTCCCACCACGAAAATGGCAATTTAGGTCAACAAGTACTTTATACTTGTTGAGTAAATGATGACAATTCGTTTATACATTTTTTTCACACAAATATTTTTAGAACTGTCATTTGAGTTTATAGTCTATAGATTAGTTTTAACTCTCTAAAATTAAATCTGAGTTTTTTTTACTCAGTAGGAAATTTTAAAAAAATCTCAGTCCCTAAAACTCAATGTAAAGTAGATTAAAACAAGAATAGAGTAGGATTGGTGTTCCAAAAATAAATTAATTTTTTAATACATTTTTAATTATTTTTTTCATTTATTTTTTTATGATATTAATAAATTTCACATGATATATTTTTTTTCATTCCAAATATCTTTTTTTAAAATGTTGAATACTTAAGGAAAATTATAGATTAAGAATTTTATTATACAAAAGTAATTTTTTAGTATCTAATAAAATAGAGATAGTTTTGATAGAAGTTAGTGTAAAGATTAATTTGTAAAAAAATGGAAGGTAATATATATTTGCTAATGATGAAAACTTATTATTCCTAAAGAATATGTGAATCTTGATTTTATTAAAACACTAGTCAAAATAATTTTTTAATTGTTATTATACTTTAGATGTATAATTTCTTTATTTTGGAAAGTTGAAAAAAAAATTGTTCAAAATAAATCATTTTCTATAAGTCTAAAAATTATTTATATTTGAATATAATCGTAAAAGCATATTTTTTTTTTAATTTTTTCATGTTTTGAAAGTTTGTATGAACATATTTTAATAAATTATTTAAAAAAATTATACATAAATAAACTTTTAACTTTAGTTTTGATATCTAAAATATAACAAGCGAGTTTGAAAAAAAATTATTTTCTCAAAAGAATCATCTATAAAAATATTAAATAAATTATTTTTTATAAAATAGTGCTAATATAACATAAAGAAATTCGTATGTTAAAAATTGAATAGAATAAAAATACACACAATTTAAAAAAAATAAGAAATAAAAAAAGTATATGTTAATACAATTAGATAATTTTATTTAAATTTTTTAATAAAACTTAGTCAAAATTTTTAAAATATTATTAAAAATATATTATGAAAAATAAAATAATTAACATAATAAAAGAAAGACTTATGACTAATCATGTGAATCTTTTTAATAAAATTTTGTTTTGACCAAGGGGACATTTTTAGTCTGAAGTATGAGTTAGAACCAAATTCTACTAGATGGACTATGAGTCTCCGATGACTTGTTCTGGTCTAGATATCTTCTTCATTTATTTTGTACAAATCAACATGTTTATCAAGAAGTTAAACATTCAAATTGAGAGCCTCTCAACCTTCTGAGTTCAGAAATACCAAGTTCTTGGAAATTGCCAAACATAACGATATATGAATCACTGAGTTTATAACTGTGCAATGTAGAAATATGAAACCAATTTTGTAGTATCTGGGAAATATATTTCATTATAATAATTTTCTGGAAAACTATCCAGAACACACAAACAAACATAGACAACAATCATCACTCTCTAAGATACAACAAAAGACACTCTTAAAACTCAAACAAATGCACAACACAACTCTGTTTTTATCCTTCACCTTTCTTCACTCACTACATAATTCTCTCTTCTTTCTTCCCACGATGGTTCCTCTCTCTCCCACAAACTCCTACATATTTTTCTCCACTTGACCACACCTTTCTACATTTTTCCTTCTTCTCCGTGGTGGGTACTTAACCCCTTGCTCTCTCTTAGATTTATAGCATAACTCCACCCATCTTACACTGGTGCTAACAACATCAAACATGCTTGCAACCAAAGACTTGCAACGTACAAAAGCTGCTGCCTTGCATGACTTTGCACATCCAAACACACTACTTTTCTACTTTTACAATTATTAAAAAACACGTGGGACCCATTAAAATTTATCCAACATGCACGAGTTCTTTTATAAAGTCTTCGCAGTGAGGTTTCTCTCATCGAAAGATGGAGGCGTTCTATTTGTGGTGGGTGAATGGCCAGAAGCAAACTTTGCTCATGCTCAACCAAATACTGAGATGGCTGAAGAAACCAAAGGTACTGAGAATCATATGTCTTGCTTCATCTGTAATTGGACTGCTCTGTTATGCACTCAGTTCCTCTTTCCACTTTTTACTGGGAAACTGGAGGTGCTGGAAGATGCTTCTATATATGGTTTTCCGTTTCATCGTTTTCCTTGTCGTCTTGTTCTCAAAGGCAAGGTCGAGTTCCATTTCTCTCCCGTTGGAATCTCGTTTAGTGTTTTTGGTTGTCATAATCACTTCCGTTTATTCCTTTTTTTATGATAACGTGGTGAAGGGTAAACCTGATGCATACAGTTTGATCTCTTGTGCTGCTTTTGCTATCATGTCGCTTGGCTTGTCAAATCTCACCCAATTTGGATTCCAAGTTGATCTAGTACATTTCTTCTGCGCATGTCTAATAATACAGCTCATGAAGATCAAATTGTGGTTAGTCATTGTTGGAGCAGGTTTCACTTATTCCCTTCTCCTGCTTCCAGACCATCCGCGTGACACACAAGAGGAGAATCTTCAGCTCCAGGAACAAAATCAAGTAATCATTCAAGTTGATGACATCGAGAGTCAAGATATCATGTCACAACAAGCTAATTCTGATGTTCATAGTACTCTAGGTACCTCACTAGAAGACGGGGATCTTAGAAAAAGCGATTCACATCCACAAGATGCTGATCTTATCATCCAACAACTCAAGAATTGCATAAAGAAGCTTGAGAAGGAGAATCAGATGCTCGCTCCCATGGTTTGCAGTGAGGTGGACAAATACCTTAAAGCCGTGTCTGACTCCAAAGAAGTACCACAGCCTGACGTCAACTTGGTGAGGGATGCACTTCCACCAGGAATTAGTACGCGCCTTAAGGAAACCCTGAAGCAGATGGTGGATGCAGGTTTGGATGAGGAATGCAGCGACATTTACAGTAAATGGCGAAGGGAGTTTCTAGAAGATTGTCTGCGCGTACTAGGGTTACAATTTCAAACGCCCAATACTGAGGATGTTCAGATGTGGTTAAAAACATGCAAGGCAGCTGGGAAGATACTTTTTCCCATTGAAAGGAGGCTCTGCGATGACCTCTTTTCAGGGCTCTCTGTTGCGGATGTCTCCTTCGAGAAGGTTTGCAAGGAACTGACAATTGGTCTAGTGAGTTTTGCCTATACCACCATAACAACTTGGAGCTATTTGCCAAATCTTTTGTTGGAAGTCGTCCCTAAAATGTCGGAGTCATTGCGCGAGCTGATCGTCTCACAAAATTCGTTTCACGAATTGTCGTTCGTAGATGCTCACGAAGATGACATTCGTTCAAGATTGGTTATTTCAAACAAGGTGAAGAATAAAGAAAATGTGATAGGTGCTAAATCATGTGCAATAAAAGATTTGTTGAAGAGCTCAGTGACTCACTTAGACAATCTTATGAAGGAAGTCATGTTAAAAAGTGTCATGAAGGAAACCTCAAAGAATTTCGTGAAAGGGATCCCGTTGAAGAGTCTTATGAAGGATGTCTCATTGAAGAGTCTCTTGAAGGAAACTTCGTTGAAGAGTCTCCTGAAGGGAGGTCTATTGAAAAGTGATGGAGGGGGTCTCGTTGAAGAGATTCATGAAAAAAGCCTCATTGAAGAGATTCATGAAGGAAGCCTCTTTGAAGAGTCTCGTGAAGGAAGCCTCATCGAAGAGATTCATGTAGGAAGTCTCGTTGAAGAGTCTCATAAAGGAAGCCTCGAGTCTGATGAAAAAAGTCCTGTTGAAGAATTTCATGAAGAAAGCCACGTCAAAGAGTCTCATAAAGGGGCCCCTGTTGGAGAGTCTCATGAAGGAAGCCCCATCACAGAGCCTCATGAAGAGGATCTCGTTGAAGAGTCTCATGAAGGGGGCTCCGTTGAAGAGTCTCAAAAAAGAAACCCATTGCAAATTTTCATGAAAAAAGCCCACTTGAAGACTAAAGCAAGAAGGGTAGGGTTTGGATGAAGAAGATTGTCTAGTGTTGAAACTAGTTAGTGTTCAAACTAGTTAGACTGTCAAGAACGTACTTGTATTATATCACCTAGTAGATTATATATTATATTATCTTAAAGTTTTTATTTTCGTTGAATGATTTTATGTTATTCCCTTAATTTAGGTTCTACCCTTCATCATAATTGGGTTAAAGTCTCTAGGTATGGAATTTTCTAGTCAATAAAAGTGTTTCCTTTCAATCTTGTTCTTGTATTTTCTTGCATTATTATTGTTAAGATGGAGGTCATCTCTATACAACAAGGTTGTGTTGATACTTTAAAGGGTGAGACTAACGTGACAACGCCTACTCCTTAGAAGGAAAAGGCTGACATGATCAACAAGGTCAGAAACACCATAATTATGAGTATCAGTGATAAAGCATTAGGAGAAGTGGTTAATGATTGTTACATTGGTGTGGGTGAAACTTAAGTTACTAAGTCTTTTGGCACTTAAATTTAGTTTAAAGTAACAATTGTGTTTAAGATGACTAAATCAAGAATGATTGTGGAGTGGCTAGTAGACTTGAACAAGATTCTGGACAACTTGAAGAACATTGAGATAAATATTAAGGACGAGGATTAGGCTTTATGTTGTCAACAAGCTATTTTAAAGCCAAAAGAATTTTGATGATGAAGTGCTTAAAGACAAGAAGAAATTGATGTTCATTGAAGAATAAGGTTTTTGTAATACTTCTTTTGTAATAACTCAGTAGTTAGAATACATAGATGTACACAAATATTTAATGTAAAATTATTTTCGAAACTCACTAGGATAATCTATTATCACTTGAGATAATCGATTATATCAATAAAAACAAAAAATGAAACGATTTGTAGATAATAAATTATCTTCAATAATAATCAATTATTTTCAAAAATTATCTTTTGCATAAGCTCGTAGACACTAGTACAAAAATCGCGTACAACGTCAAATATTTTGGGCTTTTAACAGCAAATTCACGAACGACGTCATATCAGGAGACATTAAATTGATGTCGAATTTTAAAAGATTCGACGTTAAATTAACGTTGAATTTTGTCAATATAAGACGCTAACTTAACGTCAAATTTTGTCAATATTTGAGGTTAATCAATTCTTTTTTTTAATTAACTGTGATCGTTTTTAACAATTCTACGAAATCTGAAAAGTAGAAAAACAACAAATTTCAAGTTTTTGGTATTTTATAAAGCATGAACTTTGATCAACAACAAACAACAATAACCAACAACAAACAAGTTCAATCAAACAACAACAAACAAGTTCAACCAAACAACAATCATAAACAAGTTAAAAAAAAACATCAAACAAGTTCTTCAAAACGAAAACAAAAACTAACCTTCAAAAGGTGGGTTCATCGCAATAAAGTGTCATCACCCGTGAGAGAGAAAGCAGAATGCATCTATGAAGGACAAGAACACGAAAATAATCGGTTAAAACAAACGAAAATTATACATAAAGTAGTTAATTAACATGCATTTGTATCAAATGAAAGAAAGATTATATGTGATGGTCGTCAAACTTCGTTTGAGAAGAGAAGAGGGTCTAGCGCGCTAAGATAAAGTGAATGAATTTTCAATCTCCCGCTCAAATTTTTATTAAATTCACTAACATTTTAAAGTCTAAAGCTAGGACATTCGACGTTTTATATCTTTTTACATCGAATTACAATTATAAACTACGTTTAATAATTGCATTTATTTACAAAAATGCCACCGGTCATTTTTAAGGTTGGCTATTTAGTGGTTCGATGTTAAACGCATGACGTTATACGTTGTTTTTGCACTAATGAGATAATCGATTACCATTTGAGATAATCGATTATCTGAAGAAAATTATCTTTTGAAATGATTCATAAATAATTAATTATCACTTAAGATAATTGATTATCGTGATAATTATGGATTATTGATCTTCTTACCTAATTTCAAATTGAGTTTATAAATACTTCATTTATTAGTCTAAAATTTAGTACATTTTAAGAGGTTACATAAATTAACAAACCATATATATATATATATATATAACATAAATATCTAAATAAAAAGGAAACATAAAAATAAGAACATTTTGGTCATTAAAATGTGTTTAATTTTATTTTTCAAAAACTCTTTTAAAACTGAGAGGAAAAGACAGTGGTTATTTTTGCTCATAGGAAGCGGTTCCCGAACAGAGGCATATTCAGGCGAGGCAAAAAGTCTGGGTGCAAACCAAGGCATAAAAGGGTAGGATACTGCCTCGGTTCATCCCTAATCGAAGCAGTAGATGTTTTGATTTTTTTTCTTTTTTTTCGTAGGACTTTATGTCTCTATTCCTTCTGAACCGAGGCAGTATGTCCCCCTCTATTGTCTCGGTTCTAACCCTAACCGAGGCAGTAGAGCCCATTTTTTTTTCATCTGCGAGTCTTTCTGCATCGGGTATGATGTGAACCGAAGCCATAGGGGGCTTTTCTACTTCGGTTGTGACCTCAACCGAGGCATATTCCACTTTTTTTTAAATGAGATATGTTTTTGCTACATTTCCAACTACAGAAACAGACCTACATATTTATATTTACAGCCAGAACAGTCCAGAATAATCCAGAAACATATATTTTGAATGAAAATTATATTAAAACATAAATACATTCAAAGGAATCATAAATCAACTTCTTAGAAGCATAAATCAAGTTTGAAGCATTAATCAATGCAATGTACAAAGTTAAACTAATAATAATGTAGAAAAACATAAAACAACTTAGAAACATAAACTTAGAACTTACTATATCCTAATATCTACTACATACTATTATATAATT